GTTCTTTCATGAAATAATAGAGCTTTTACCTATGATTTATAAGAATACATGTTGCAATAAAATTAAATAAAATCATAATTTCTTATTTTATCGAGAATTGGATTTTGAGGACAATTGTAAAGGTATTTAAATAGCCAGTTACGTTTTGATTCAAAATCGATACATGGAACTGCTTAAATTAAACTTTAAGCGGTATAATGACTCGGGATATTGGTGTATGTCTTAGGTGTACTTCTTAGCTGTATGTCGAAAGCTTGCCAGTGTGAGAAAGAAATGGTTAAGTCTTGAAATTCTGGACGGAGAAACAATGTTTGAAAAAAAAAACTGTATACTGTTTTTATGTTTGTGCGTATTTATAAGTAATATTTATATGTTTAATTTTCTTATATGTCGTTTGTGAGTAAATGTTTTGCTGTCTGTCATCTTTTTTACATGTGTGTGTCTCTTTTTGATCTACGTGTCCGTCAGTTTGTCTGCCTTGAATCTGTATTTGTTTGAATATGTGTGTTTTGTTTGTGTTTAAGTAAAATTATGCGTTGTTTGTTTTCGCGTTTATATAGTTTTGTTAGTTGTGAATAAATGCTTTGTTCAATATCTGCCTTAAGTCTGTGACTTCAATTTTCCCATAGGTATATGTTTTTTATTGGTGTCTGTCGATCAGTGGTTTTGTAGATGTCTGCTTTTTATTTATTTATTTTAATCTGTTCTTTTTTGTGTGTGTTTGTCGGCACTTTCATCGTTGGTAAAATTTGTTTGACTTTCATAACTGTACCTAATTTTTACTACAACTGGTAAGAAAGAAACGGCCCATCTTTCTTTAATTTCTTGTTGGATCATTATTGATTATCTCTAGTGCTATGGTTTAGAATGTTTAATCCCTGCTCGTTTTGTCCTAACATTAGGTACTTTTATTGAGTCGGAAAGTTGACAAATGTGAAAAAGAAGCAATGCATATTTTAAGTCCCGTTGTTTTGAATGAACAATTAACAGCTACAAGAACAGGTTCTCAATGTAGATTTTAGTTAATATCGAGTATGAAAAGTCTTACTCTCCCAGCAATTCTTCAGCTCTTTGCACAAATGCCTTACAGTCGTAAAACCCATATCGGTGTCGCATTTTCCAAATTTTCGTGGGTTTTGCTTCACCGGGGCGACCGCAGCACGACCACAGAGACCGATTACGCGTTCACACCGAGTGTATTTTTTTCTTTCGATACCCTCGATCCTTGAAACGGCTTCAATTCAAATAAATTGGTGGAATACAAAGCGAAATAAGAAGAATCCTACTGACATTTGTAACGATGAAATGAGAGACGGGCGTTTTTCTCGCTGAGTTTTTTTCTAGTGAAACAATATGTATAAATAGATTTTTATTCAAATTCTACATGTTGATATTTGTCATGGCTGCCCTATTTCACGTTATTAACTATTATATACTATAGAACATGCAAAAATAGGCGCACAGGAGACGATCAGACAGTAGGTTCAACACCTCTCGACCTTGTTACAGTAATTATCTTTTATAAGATTTGACAAAGTATTTCTTCTTTTACCTTCGATTATTATATAAATATTTCACCAAATCTGGTGTCGCAGTCCGATCCGGACAATAGCGGCTTAAAATTTTTATCGTGACAAGCCTTGCGTAACTCTTCCAAACAGTTGGGAGATAAGGCAAGGGGAAAACAATAGATTTCCCAATAGCTCTGGACTCGTCCTTCCTGATTGTCTGATCGAGTGGTTCATAGCACGATGGCTATCCGCGAATTTCCGCCGCGGAATGTAGATTTAAAAAACAACACCTTGTCCTCTCTTGGACGTTGTTCAGCAGTAAAGGAAGAAGGGGGCAGGTCTGGGGAAACGGAGATTCCGTTGTGTGTGGTCAGGCGCTTAGGAAGCGAGGTTTTTCGTTTTTGCGGATCCCCACCAGGCCGGTGTTGTTTTTTAATGTTATGTGAGCCCGGGCCGAGCATACGCGCACGTTTTATGATACTATTTTAATTGGGTCAGCCGGATGAGTGTGTCTCTCGACGGGAAATGTCAACGACTTCACCAAATGTCGTTCAAACTCCCTGGGAGTTCTGGCACGCTCTGATTACCATGCCAATAAATGCCTGTTCGTCAAAATTCACTAGCAAACTTGTTTGTGTGTTTCAGAGTGGTAAAGAGAGAGAGAGAGATAAAGAGAGTGAGAAAGAGAATGAAAAATTTGATTCTCAGCTTCTTACTTTCGTTGCAAAGTTTTAATTAAACAACAAAGGAGTGGGAGAAATATAAAGTGTGTGTGTGTGTGTGTGTGTGTGTGTGTGTGTGTGTGTGTGTGTGTGTGAAGAGAGAGAGAGAGAGAGAGAGAGAGAGAGAGAGAGAGAGAGAGAAAGAAATTCTGATGATGATGATGATATGGTTTTTTTCCACGCAAAAGTTAGTCCATGTTTCAGCCACTTACGTGCCTAACAATCTTTTCGTGAGTTTGTTTTTATTCAAGACCCTGTGTCCATATGTCTGTTATTTTTTGTGTACGTTTGTATGAGTGTTGGTTCTGTGCATGTGTTATATGTCTTTATTTTATCATTATGAATGGGTATTTTTTTCTTTATTCCCTAATGGTTAATAGCGTTTTCGTCCGCTTGGACGAGCAAGGAGTCGTACTCTTTTTGTCAATAATTTCCCTACGAACCCGGTCACAATGATGTTTTACGCTTTCTTCGCCCTGTCATCGGTGCCGTTACCACCGTGGCGAGTCGATTTATGGTCTGTGCTTTTTCAAAAGGAAGCACTTAAAAATTAAAGGAAGGAGGGTTTTTACGTTTTGATGTAACTGTTGCTTACTTGTACTTATATCGCTTAACAAATCTACTTGTTCAGGCTTGTTGTTGCCTCTTTACAACTTTCTTTCATGCAATCCGTATTTTTCTATTTCTTAATTTCCCTGAAAAACTCTTAAGAAATTTCGATATTATTTCATTATCACTGACTGTGTTCTTCTTGTTACATTCAATATTAATATTTGCTATAATATTGATAAAAGAGTTACATCCTATAATATAAAGTTTAAAGTGGTAATCGATAAGTAAAGTATGTTGTTATTATTAAACACACGAGTAAGGTTTGTCTGTCATCGTCCATGACGAATTAACCGATAATCATCTAGAGTTTTCTCGGCTTGCTACCTATGTTTAATGTTTTGTTTAAATGTTCAAGTTCATGTAAGAATATTGTCCCACGATTTTAAACATTCTTTCACATGCTTACATAATTATGAGGTGCCTTGCAGCAGTAGTTTTTCGGTTGAACTGCTCCGGTATAATAAATTGTAATGTGAATCCATGGGTGGGCGCGTTAACTCCCTTGTAAAACTACAAAGAGATTAAAAAATTTTGAAACTGGCCTGGGGGTAAAATCGCGGTATGCAACCAAAGAGCGACGAAAGACCGGTTGGAGCCACCAGAATGAATGTTTATGTCAAATTAGAATAAACACCCAATAAGTGAGAACATGGAGTGTCCGTGGTCCTTGTAAATGAGACTGGAACAATCCGTGGCATCTGGTCCGTCCCATTATATCAAATATCAACCGTAAACGACAACTTTGTACACTCCCCAACTACAGACGTTTTTGCCTTTGAGGCTTCCGGAGAATTCGGACATGACCGGGAATACTCCCATAATTGGAGCCACGCGACACTACTGAACATTTCTGACATTCACCGCTCGAGCACACTGTTTATATTGCTCTCGAGATAAAAACGAATAAAAGAAAGCCCACTCCCATTTGATAAAAGGCTTCTTTAATGTCTTCATCTGACAAGTTATGTCCTCATAAATTCTCTTACCCTATCGAGATCTCCTTATTTCAAAATACCTGACCTTTTTCTCCTTCATGGCAAACCTTACATTCTTAACATGTTTGCCAATTCCATCCTTTTTCATTTTTTTAAATTCACTACTAAGATTATCATGGGGCCAAAGCAACGATTCGAAATCATCAATCATGACACACAGTAAAACAAAAACCATTCTATACCATCGTAATGGCAGTCTGATAGTCGTTTGCCTGTGTGTTTGCCCGAGAACGTGTATCAGGGAGCGAGAGCGAGAGAGAGAGTGAGAGAGAGAAAGAGTTAAAGAAGAAAGAAAGCTTGAGAAAGAGAAAAAGAAGAGGGAGATAGTGATATATATATATATATATATATATATATATATATATATATATATATATATAAAGGGAGAGCGGAGAGTGGGAGAATGTGAAAAAAGAGGGGAAGAGAATGGGAGAGGAAAGTGAGATATACAGAGGGACGATTGGAGAGATAAAGAAAATGATAAAAAAAAGGAGAGCGGATAGTGAGAGAATGTGAAAAAAAGAGAGTGGGAGAAAGAAAGAGAGACAGACAGACAGACAGACACTGACTGACAGACAGATAGACAGACAAACAGACAGGCAGAGAAGAGAAGGACTGTGAGAAAAAGACAGGTTAAAAGGGAAAGCTAGAGGTATACACACAAAGGCAGAAAGTATGTGGCTAAAGACGGTCGTAGAGAGAAAGAAAGAAAATTTGGAAGAAACAAGTATTATTGCAGCACTAGAAGTTTTTTCATGACAGTCATCTTCTTTCTTGTTATTATACTTTTGGAATTCGTCCCAAAACGTGCCGATAACCTGCTCCTACTGTTTTTCAGATTTCTGTTCTATTATGTTCCTAATCTTACTGACAATTTTTTAGCGTATATATCTATCTTTTGTATCGTCTTCGTAGATGTCGCCCTAATCCATTTCTTCTGTTTAGTTTTTAGTTTAATTTTTAATTATTTGGATTTTAGTTCAACCCGTATTAACACTTTTTATACTTTTTAATTAAAAAAAGAAGATAGAAGGGATATTTGTTTGTAAATGAACCACCAAGTTTCATCCTGGGAAAAATCCAAAATATTCCTCACGTTTCAACATTTTTCTCATTTGACAAATGTTCTAATGTTTTTGTTTGTTTTTCTTTTTTTCCAGTGAGGCCAGCGAGTATATCAGGCCTGAAGGACACGAAAGTTAAAGTTAAGGATAGACTGCGGTTAGTCTGTCGATCTAAAGGAAACCCGCTTCCTGCCGTATCCTGGTACAAGGACGGGAACCCTGTCAACGCCTCGAGGGCCTCGAGGATCCAGTTTAAGAAGTGAGTACTCTTTCTTTTCCTGTTTTTTTTCCCGGTGAAAATGTTTCGCGTCCTCTTCCAAGCTTTGATGGCACAAATTTGTTTGGGTTTCGATCTTCAAAAGGCGCGGGGGGAAAACCCGGCGGGGCCGTTCTCTGACGAAAATAAACCACCCTTTAAAGTGTTTGATCTCGGAAAAACCGCTAAATCCGCGCCAATATGAAAATGCTCAGGGTTTTTTAAAAATGATCTTAAAGGAAACCCCTTTAAAAGAGGAAAAAATACCGATTTTCGTAAATAAATAATGTATTTAATGGATGTATAACATTTTTTGTGAATTTTAATTATGTCTGCGACGTTATGAAACTAGGTGACTCCATGATCATTTTGGCCTTCCTTGTTTACGAACACTCAGGACCAAAGTATGGCCTAAAAGAAGAAGAAAGCAAATTTAGTTTCTAATGACAAGCATTCGGCCTTTATAAGGCATCGTCAGGACTTATGTTAATTTCACTTTATGAAAAACATATGTGTGCAGTTGATTCTATCAATATTGTATAGAACTTACAAAACAACCTTAAATATGCCTACAGATTGACTTTTTTACAGGCGATCTCAAATTTCCCTGAAGGCCGATTCAGATCCAATATTGCCAAGGACTGAACAGTATAGAAACCTTATCCCGGAGGTCCTCCTCTTGTTAACAAAGACCTCTTTTAAAAATTAATAAGACCTTCATAAATTGAACTTATGTCCATAGTATCTGTTTGAATGTACCATTTTAGTATGTAGAATCTTTTTTATTCTTCTTCTGAATAATTGAGATTCTTTGTCAATTATTTCAACATTCGAAAAGTCAAATTTATGCTTACTTCATATTGATTGTTTTTATAGTTCGATACCATTTCTGGATTTATTATCACAATCAGAAACATGACCATAAAATCTATTTTTTATTATTTATTTGGTTTGGCCAATGTATTTATTGGATTGGACATTCTCTATACGAAAACCTGTGTGTCTGTTACAGTCCTTGGCAATATTGGTACTGAATCGGTCTTACAGAAAATTTGAGATCGCCTGTAACTTAAATATGTCAATCTGTAGACATAGTTAAGGTTGTCTTGTATGTTCTATATAATTATGCTTTTAGAAAAACATTTTCTTTATCGTGCCAGTGTTTAGATCTTTATTGAAATCATCTTCAGGGCCTGGGATTTATAAACATTGTTTAAATTTTACAAATGCATGGAGGATGTGAAAAAATGAATTTATACAATGCTAGAAATTTGAGATTAAAAAAATAAATTGAATAAAATAAATAAGTAAAATGAATTTATACAATGTTAGAAGATTGTAGATTAAAAAAATGATATATTAAATTGTTAAAAATGATAGATTAAAAAAGTAGTACAAATACTGATTGAATCTAAAATTTTCTAACATTGTATAATTTTTTTTATTCTAAAAATTTCTAGCATTGTATTAATTCATTTTTTTAATCTAAAAGTTTCTAGCATTGTATAAATTCATTTTTTTTAATGTAAACTTTTCTAGCATTGTATAAATTCATTTTATTTATTTATTTTAATCTAAAATTTCTAGCATTGTATAAATTCATTTTTTTAATCTAAAATTTTCTAGCATTGTTTAAATCTCAATTTTTCTAGCATTGTATAAATTCATTTTATTTATTTTAATCTAAAATTTCTAGCATTGTATAAATTCATTTTTTTAATCAAAATTTTCTAGCCTTGTATGAATTCATTTTATTTATTTTTTTATTCTAAAATTTCTAGCATTGTATAAATTCATTTTTTCAAATACTACATATATTTGTAAAATTTAAACGATATTTATAAATCCCAGGCCCTGAAGATGATCTCAATAAAGATCGAAACGTTGACACGATAAAGAAAATGTTTTTCTAAGACTTACGTCACACCAAGCGCATCTCTCGATCTCCGAATAATCATTGACTAACGGTCACAGTTCTATATAGTTATATTGATTGTTAAATCAATTGTATAAATGTTTTTCATAATATGAAATTAATATAAGCCCTGATGATTACCTTAAAATAGATCGAAAGCTTGGAATAAGCAACTAAATTTGCTTTCTTTTTCTTCAAGAACATACCTTGATCCAGAGAGTTCGTAAATAAGGAAGTAGTGATAATTCTAATACTGAAAATAGAAATATTCTCGTTTATTTAGTCTGTCAGCCATAGTTTCCCCAATTCGGCCTATTAAATGTAAACCGTGATTTAAAGAGAAAAACCAACGAGAATATGCGGGCCTGAGAGGTCAAGTTACATAAAAGTTCAAATCCTCATTCAATCCTAAAATATAAACAAAGCTACTTTTCCATACATCCTTCTGCTCCGTCGGACAAATCATCATCGTTCATTACACGCCAATTTATGTACATTTGTTTATTCTGTTTTTAAGGCTCAGTAAATTTTTTCCACACACTGTTAAATCCATTTAATAAGTTATCAAGCAGTTAGGTTTTTAACAATATTTCATTTGGATGTACATACATTTTTTTAAGCTTATTAATTTATTAAAACCAGTTTACAGCTTATAAAAGCGATTGTAAAGACAACAAATCATAACTAGTTTTATTTTTTCATGGTCAGAGAAGGTTTCCTCTGGTGCACATGTTCCTTCTATTTAACCCTTGGTTTTTACTAAACAATTAGCTAGTACTTGTATTGGCAGTTATATAAACAATTTGTACTTGTGTTTGCTACAAAACAAAATTTTTTGATATATCTGGGTTTTTCTCGGTAGATTTTCTGACCTATTAATCTGAAGCTTAATGTTCCATGTATAGACATTTTATCCAAGAGTTAGAATTTTTTATTCAAGGTACACGTAACAAACCGTGGGAATACCGTGAATGTCATTAATAAAAAGCGACAATTATATAGAAACCCTGGATCAAAGGGTTCGTCGAGAACTCTGCTCCCGGGGCGATCGGAGGCGTGAAACGGTTGCCACGGCCTGGAAAAACGGGCACAATGGAAGACAAATGTCGCCCCTTTTAAGAAAAATCCTTCCAGGTGGAAAAATGGACATTTAAAAAGCTTGAAAAACAGGCCGGAGGCGTTTGAATGGGCTTCTGTTTCCCACGTTAAACAGGCCCGTGAGTCATTGCCTAGAACGAATCTCGCCGGCTGAAATATTCCTCCGGTCTCGTTGTCAGCGGGTCTGACGCATCTGTTAGATCATCAGCGAGATCATTATTAAAGTAATGAATAAATAATAAACCCCGACGCCTTCTTTATTGGCTCCTAATATCCATAACTACGCTTCCCATCAAACCCATGACCCCTGCACTGGCTATAAATCAATTCCTTTTATTGTTCGGGCATCAATTTCAAAATATCGCGCGTTGATTTTCCTATCTTCCACTAGCATATTTTAGGATACGATATTCTACGCCTATCTATCATATAACCTGTCCGTTATTGCTAGAATCCAGCGGCCTTAGGGTAAAAGTTCCAGTAATTCAATTCTTCTTAACTCAATTTGCTCATATTTTATTCGAAGTTCTATATTCGAAAAAACCATCAGCTGATATTTGATTATGGTAAACATAAGCCACATAATTATTCAGAAATCGCGAGATGCGGTCTGGTGTGATGTAGGTTTCAGAAAAACATTTTCTTTATCTTGCCAACGTTTCGATCTTTATTGAGATCATCTTCAGGGCTTGGGATTTACAAACATTGTTTACATTTAACAAATACATTTAGGATGTGGAAAAGTGAATTTATAAAATGCAAAATATACTTTTTTATATTCTATCAAAGTATTTCTACTTTTCCACATCCTAAATGTATTTGTTAAATGTAAACAATGGTTGTAAATCCCAGGCTCTGAAGATGATCTCAATAAAGATCGAAACGTTGGCACGACAAAGAAAATGTTTTTCTGAAACCTACATCACACCAGACCGCATCTCATGATTTCTGAATAATTATCGATTAACGGTCACTAATCAACACACATAAGCCACATAGTTGGATTCACAATTCACTTGAAAAGGATCCGTTGATAAAAGACCACCAGCTAAGGTTAAAAAAACTTGAATTTATAAAAATGAAACTTCTCCTACAAGAGCCTCCAATGATAATTCAACATGTACGAACATATTTACTTAATACATCACTTGTAGTTGTAAATACCAAATAAATGTAATAAAAAAATTAAAAAAGAAGTTTTAACCCATAGCTGATAATTAAAATCAGCTGATAGAGGAAAACAAGTAATTGATAGTTGTGTTATCTGAAGCATAAACAATTTGTTTTTCTAAAGGATCAACAGATATTAAAACATTTAAATTTGTCTTTTCCTGAAAAAATTGTGCTTGTTGCATCACGAATAACTAAATATTTTCTATAAAAGAATAGAATATTGGAAAACTAGCAGCTTGCACTTGAGTTCTTAGCACCAAAAGTTACTCATACTTCGTTTTATTAGGAAACATTCAATACCAGAAAATAAAAAGCAAATTGAACAACCCAAATTCATGTTCACAGTGACACAAGCCATTTTATACTTGGATTGTCAGGAAAAAAATTGCTACAAAGAAAATAACCTGCTTATCCTTCTTGGCTTCTTAGCAGCATAAGTACTCATACTTGGTTTTAGTAGAAAACATCCCATACCAGAAAATAAGCGACAATTTGAACAAACCAAATTTGTGATTACAGTTACACAAGGCATTTTACCATTGGTCTTTTTGAAAAAGATCAGTTGTTACTAAGAAAACAAACAGCTTATACTTGCTTAGCAACAAACTGCTTACATATACTTGGTTTTTTTAAGAATCATCCCATAATAGAAACCAGGCAGTAGATTAAATAACCCATTAAAATAAACACATACTTAGGTTCATAGTAATAAAAAAAAAACTTATACTTGTTTTGAGAATCATCTCACAACATAAAAGAAGCAGCAGATATAAAAAAAAAATGTGTTTACATTGATCCAAACCGCTTATTCTTAGGTTCTCTTAAAAATAATAAATTGATAAAACAAACAAGTGGCTAATTCTTGGGTTCATAGCAATAAAAGCAACTTATATTTTGGTTTCTTAAGAACTATCTCATATTAGAAAAAATGCAGCAGAATAACAACAAAATTTGTATATACAGTGACACGAACCAATTACATTCTTCGGCTATCTTAAAAACAAAAGTTGCTACTAAAACAAACAAGTAGCTAACACGTGGGTTCGTTACTATAAAAGCAACTACTTGATTTCTTAGCAATACACGCAATTAAGCATACTTGGTTTTTTTTAAGAATTGTCTAATAGTAACACCAAACTTGGAATGAGCATTAGGTTGATAGTAATAAAAGCAACTTTTTAAGAATCGTCTCACACTAGAAAATAGTAACACAAGCCACTTATAACTTTTGAATAATAATTAATTATTGAATCTAGTACGGATGTGTAAACAATGTGCTGATGTGTTTACAACCAGATAACAGCCGATACTTGATTTTGTTGGAACCATAGTAACAAAAAATTTGGCATTTAAAACAAAATCAATTGATATAAGAAAATTGCCGCTCTGGAGGTAAAATTTTCCGATCTGTTATTCATGTATACAAAAATTGACGTTATTAATACTTCATAATCTTTGTATTCAATTTTTAACTCAAAGAATGAATAGTATCGTATTACATTTTATTCTAGCCTTAAGGCTTGAATGATCGATTATTGACAAATAAGACTTACAGAAAGCTAACATACTCAAATTTCATGTGGTACGTTGGCTTGTTCTTTTCTTAAACCATTCAAGCTGAAATTGTCATCATCTTTCTTATTGTGCACACGTTGCCAATGGGCCTTCCAATTTATAAAACACATGCTGAGTTTGTTAAATGTTTCGTCTTCAACATCTTGTAATTGTGTACTTTTTCAGAGTTAATTGGCCTAACACCAATTACAAGCAGTACCAGGTGGTCTGACATGGTAGATCACTCCGTGAAGTGTTTTTTTTTGTTTGTAAATCTTCGACAACTTGATATACTATCATTAACTGTGACTACCTGTGATGCAGCCAATAATTCTAATAAGAGGAGTTCAAGCTCCCTTAAGCTTTACACCTGTCGACTTAATGTTCAACTTAACCACATGGCCAATCATGGATGCCTTTTTCGGATCGTCAACGATGGCTATAACGGCAAATGTAGAAAAAAATATTATGAGCTCTCGTTTAACAAAAACAAAGGTGGTGTTTTCCCGGCGGAGATGACTGTTATTTAAACTAAATTCTTCCAAGATAAACTCTAGTTGCTAAAGTGGAGTTTTTTTGTGTTTAAATTTTACTAAAAATGAATTTTTTATATATTAAGTAGATCAAAATTGAATAATTTCGACGGCTTGTTCTACGCAAATTTGTTATTAAAAAAACGTGTTTTCTGTATAAAATATATATTTTTACCCGAAGGTTTTACAAAGTTAACTTTTTAACTCTATTTTCAGCAAAGATGGAAAAAGTGAAAGATAATTAATTTCTAAAAACAAAACAAACATCTCAGATGGACATTACCACCTGTGAGATGCAGTGAGGTATTGAAGTCACTTAACCCTATCGGACAACGCCATTACCGGGAGAGTTTAATGTACTGACGTTTGCAGAACCGTGTATAGAATAGTCGCCGGTTGAATAAATCAGGCATTTTATACGTACTTTATACAAATATGTAATAAGGCAACCGTTAATTACATTAATCTTTCGTTCCCTCCCTACCTATCACTCTCTCTCTCTCTTTTCTCTCTCTCTCTCTCTCTCTCTCTCTCTCTCTCTCTCTCTCTCTCTCTCTCTCTCTCTCTCACTCTCCCTCCGTCTCTCTCCCCTCTCTCTTTGTCTATAATATGGGTCGGTGGACAGTTCTTAAATTTTCCCTTTACCGGAAACGTTTGACATTTCTCCTCCACTTGGAATGATTTATGAAATTCGAAGTCCCCTTTGCCTTATAAGCTTTCAGGTCGCAAACACCGCATTACACATCAGCTGTGCCGGTTTAGCCTACTCGCTTTTTGAGCCTATCTATATACGACGTATGGAATATTATTTTATAATATGAACAACAATTGATTTTTTTATTTTAGGTGCATTTTTCAAGGAAGGCTCAAAAAGCCATTAAATTTACTTTTACGTAATTTAATTTTTTGGTCAATTTTTACTTAACTTTTGAAAAATTTTATTTATTGGCTAAAATTAATGGCAAATAAATTAATCTCTAACACTTAGACTACAAAAGTGTCTTCACGTCGTGAATAAAAGGGGAGAAGACGTTAATTAAAATTATAGAAGCAATTATCATTTGTAATACACACTCTAATTGTTTATTTTTCTCATACGATCTCCCTCTTTTTAACCTTGTGACAAACTGTGGGAAAAATCCCACTGGGAATTTTCAGCTGAATTTTTTGAACGCTGGATTTATTTCTCTAATTGTGTTGGACTTGGAATCCTAGAATGTTTATTCGATTCATCTGATATTTTTCGAAACACTCTTTACAATAATAAAAGAAAAGTTAATTATATTAAAATGGCGTTTACATTGGGTAAAAATGGTCAAATTATATGGAGATTACTAGGGTTGGATGTGAAAGGAAGGGGGATAAGCGAGAGATTAGTGTTAAAAGCGTGTCCGGTAAATCGTGCGGTGCAAGGTGCAACGGCAGGTGGCTGGCTACAGGTGTTTCGGGATGCACCTCCCTGCCATCTACAACACACTTCCGACCTCACGCATTACCATAAGCACATCACGCACTCTGCTCCTATTTCATCCGCCTTCCCCGGCCGTATGGACAGGAATTTTTATGGGCCGATAAGGCTTTCTTTTTGCCTTTGGGACCTAGCGGAAGAGGGATCACTTTTTTAAACATACGATCCTTGTTTATGCTTGATTTGCAAATGAATTGACGAATAGTGACAGTTTTAGGCAAATTCGGACAGTTTACAAAAAATATATTTTGCTTATTTATTTATGTTTTTACTTTTTTACGAGGGTTCGCAACATCAGAGGTCGTATCAACCCACACGGTGCCGGTATTTTTGATAAAAAGCCTATTCGTAGGGCCGCTGGATTCGAACCCTGGACCTTTACCTTACAGTAATGAGCGCCGTGTCAACGCCTAAACCGTTGCGGCCACCGAAGCCCCCCAGTTTTAATTTTTATAATCGACTTATAGTTTCGATAATTCAATTATTTATCTGCCTACTTTACTACTCACTGAATTGAATCAATTAATTAACCAATATATCAAGCTACCTAATTTTCTACTTATACTCAGAATCTGTTTTCTCACAATTTGCCTTTTTATCTCTTAATCTGAATATCCATTTATTTAGCCATCAACATTTTTAGGTCAAATTCACCAGATCTCTTAATTATTTATTTGTCTATTCAAATATAAGTTGTATTTTTTCTTTTTTTCCTCCCTCGTTTGCTTTATCTCTTCTCTTCGACGTTTTTTTACTTTTTATTTTCTCTGCGTTACGTTGTTACATATTTGAATCACTTTTTCACACTAATGTTAAAAAAATGTTCATGATTTTGTTTACTCTTGTAGTAAGTTTTGATTTGTTTTTCTTGCAGAAAGAGGTCTTCGCTGGTGATTCCAAAAGTCAGGGTGGAGGACGCAGGCCGGTACGAATGCCGAGCGACCAGCGTGAACGGAGCGATCTCCTCGTCCTGGGCCACCGTAACCGTCTCCGCCCAGCCGAACAACCCTCCCACGGACAACAGTGAGTACATTTTGTCAGAGGGTATTTCAAACAATTCGCCCCGATGGAATTAGAAGGCTAATATTAGACTTTGTAATTACGTAATGGCCCAACAACGGTGGCGGTATGGGCTTCGGAACACCTGCCGCCACGCGTCATTAGAGCGCACGGTCGCGTGGACCATTTCTTTGTCGGGACGAGCAAGCCGAGCGGGACGGTAAAGCAACCGGCTGGCTTTCCACCCTTTAATCAGAAAACCATCAAGTGATCCGTGAAGCCACAAAAGCTAGATTATTGTTTAAACTCTGCCCCGTCCCGCTTCCCGAACCGATTGTGTTACGAGATCTCAGAATATTGTGTTACTCACAGTCAACTTCGAACGAACCCTTTTTCAATTCACAGACCAAATGACAAACCCGTTCTTGGGTTTTACTGAACGACCTGGATGTAACGACTTGACTGGAATTTGCACATCCTCAAAGATTTGGACGTAATATTGATTGAAATTTGCGAGATGAGAGGGCCCAGGTTGATGGTGATGAAGTGCAAAAAAAGGGAAATGGTGATGTGGGCAGATAGATTCATAGATAGGTAGGTACATAGGTAGGTAGGGTAAAAGGATGAAGACTTGGCATTTACAGATAGTTAAATAGTGACGGAAGGCAAAAAAGTGCACAAAGAGAGAGGAGGGGGAGTGTGATTGCATAAAATGGCAAACGTGATAAGTAGACAGAAAGTTAGATTTATGGAAAAAAGATAGACAGGAAATTATTTAATTAGTGAGGGACGTAATGAGAACGGTAGATATATTCAGAAATGAAGAAATAAGTAGGTATATATGTATACCATAGAGTGAGATCATGAGTGGGCAAGAAAGAAGAGTATGGTCAATTCAGATCATTATTGATGGTTATATCCATATTCTTTGGGAATTAATGATCTGTTGCTTATTCTAGGATGAAACGATGGTGTGATTATTGAGAGAGAGCAGGTGCATATTTTGGAATGTCAATAGGTTCCGCATGAGCATATTTCTTCGTATCATACCACTAGCTGAATTTAACCCGAAGAGCTATTAGCCCCAATTTTTTTTATATTTTCCGCCCGTCGGAACGAGTCGGAACAAACCGTGAAGAACAGCCTGCCTCCGCACACTGAGATGTTTAATTTGTGTTGGGCCGCAAACAAAAAAGCGACTGTGCAGCGTGAAGGCCTCCGCCTGTTTTCTTGTACAGTGGCTCTGCCGCGGCAGGTGTTTTCACGGGTTAGCAGTCACTTTGGCCAGGAAGGACTCATTGTCCACCGGTTCCCAGCCGCTGCTTTCCCTTATGTAAGCACTGTTCCGTGGGTAAACAGACGTCTCCTATGCCAAGTCGAGGTCTCAACCAAAATATTTTGGCACGGTGTCAAAGGGTTGACTCATTCTGCTCCTCTCGTCTGGTTTCCCTCAGCCCTCTTCGACCTCTCCGCCGGTCTGTTTATTTACAAGAAGTGGCGCCCTGATCTGACGGAATCCCTCACAAGCCGCCCACTGGCTCAATTTTGATTAAAGACTACGTGGAACACTGGCTGAAAAACTCAAAAAAGCTTCAGACTCATCAAATGAAACAACTAACGTTTAAACGATCCTATTCTACAAATGACTGCCGCTAATAATATCATTCGTTTGCACAGTCTTTCAAGTTTTCCTACTCTTTGACGTATTTCAGCTTTTTTCTCAATTCTACTAATAAAGGAACTTGAAATTTATAAATCACCCAATATTTTCTGTTCACTGCCATCATTTATTTTTTTACAGATTCATGTTGATGTTTAAAAGACAAAATTATCCGATGTCGATTTCCTCGCCTGTATAAACATTGATTAATTTTAAATTTATGGAGTTCTTTGGTCGTTTTCGATTATTATGGCCTGCCTATCCTCGATGGGATGGTCGTCACACTCTTTTTGCCATTCGGCCATTTACAGTGTTACTTTTCGATGATTGGGGTAAATTAATAGAATTTTGTTTTTAAATATACATTTATAATAGGGTCGCCAGGAGAAATAATGAATTTTAAAAAAGCTCTAATTTTGGGAAAAGTTAATCTTATTTTCGACCATTTTGTACAAGAAAGAAAACTGAAATTTTCATTGTTCTGTATTTTTATATGATTAATTTTACTGTTAATTTCAAATTTTTCTACATGTGCATCGCCAGCTCAGTGCATCGTTCTCGACAAAAGAAAAAATTGGTCAGACGAGAGAGGGAGAGAGAGAGAGAGAGAGAGAGAGAGAGAGAGAGAGAGAGAGAGAGAGNGAGAAAGAGAGAGAGAGAGAGAGAGAGAGAGAGAGAGAGAGAAAGAGAGAGAGAGAGAGAATTGGCATTGATGTATAAAATGGTGTAGTGTCGGCCTAGGTTTATTTTAGGCGGTGGTCGGCACATGCCAGAGACTTGACTTGCCTTAGGAGCAACATTGAAACCCAACACTCAGAAGCACCTCACTTAGTCCCTAATTAAGAAGAGACAGCTCCCTCACCTGATCATTTCGACTTGTGCTGAGATTTCTCCAATTATGCATGAGAAATGTGTCAAAAACCATGCATACATTTTAACACCTATATATTGGCCGATTGAGGTCTGTGCGCAAAAATAGCGCCTGGCTTGTGATAAGGTCGGTCAAAAGTTTTTCAGTACGATTTCTTTTTTAAAGTCTTTTTTTTTAAACTTCATATATCAAAAAATTAAACAAGTTTATTATATAATGGATAAATAAGACGTAAATGGACCAATTTGGTTTGGACATTTTCGAAATTGCATCTTGTTTTCTAAAAGTTTCGTTGTTCGAACCAGTGAATTTATTAAACTGCACTACAGAAATATGTACTTCTACTTAACATTTTCAAATGGCCAATTTTAATTTCAAACTAACTGTTCATTTGAAGATAAATTAACCCTCACCATAGTAATACTGTCAATTAACAATATAACAACTGCAACTACGCATCCCCACATAAGCGAAATTACACCGTCCTGCTTATACCAATCAAAAAGTATTGCAGAGAACACCCCCCCCCCCAACAGGAGCTTATGTGTTATGATATTCCCGTATTCTACCATATTTCCCATAAATTTTTTAACATTGCACAGCATCTTCCTACGTTTCTGTTCGTAGAGTGGACATACAATAATTATGTGTTCCAATGTTTCAATACTACCTCACGTGCACATTTCATCTTGTACTTGATTTCTCTTTTTTATTATTATTATTTACACACACCTTGGTTGGATCTAAGCCTCACCATAATCCAGCATGTCGCTTTTTTAAGAGGGAACCAGGGTGTTTTCGAAATGGTAGGAAGCAATCTTTTATGTACTCACTGTATTGAGTCAATTCATTAAACTAATAATTATTTAATTGATAATAGTATACACTTCCCTAAAACAGACTCTTAGAGGTCCATATGAAAACTAATTGCAATTGAAATAAAAAATAAATCGATTAGGTTCGTGGGGTCCGATTGACCAAATAAATTCTTTTCAATTAATTAATCTTTAAGTAAGATATTGGTTGAGATAAAAAAGTCAGTGTCACGAGCGGGATTCGAACCCACGACCTTAGGCCAAAACGCCGCTGCTCTACCACTTGAGCTACCGTGACTTCATCCACTCGGGCACCAACTTTTTTTTGTCTTTAATCTTTTGCCATTGTACAAGAAGTAGAGCACCTCCGAAGGGAAAAGGTTAATTCGAACTCTTAAGAAATTAATAATTTGAACTCTTAAGAAATTAATAATTTGAAGGTAAAAAAGATAAATTTGAAAAGAAAAACACTAAAAAAATATGTTAATTTGACGGAAAAAAGATATAGAAGATTGTTTTTCCGGTTCAACTCGGAAAAGTTTTAATAGTTTTCTTGTGTTGTAAATGATCGTAGAAGTTTAAATTCGCAAAATCTGATACTATCTGAAGAAGGAGCGAGAGTGAACAGAACTACAGTGGAAAATTGCACTCCACGAACAAACCTTTTTCACCTAAAACAATTATCGCAGATTTTCAATTTCCAACTTTGAAATTAAATATAAAATATAACCAAAATGACTTACTACTTACGTGACTTACTACTTAAGATAATGAATTTTCTTCTGATCCGCCTAATTTCGTCGTTTTCATTTCGTTTTGTTACAATTAAACTTAAACTATATCAGCTTACATACTCTTGTGATTGACCCTACGAGTTGAAGTTTGCAAAATCGAAACCCCGTTTTCCTAAAGAACGAGCGAGACTAAGCGGACCAACATCGGAAAGCTTTACTCCACGAACAGACCAATTTATCCTTAGTTAAGCCAATTTTTATATGCATCTCAAATTAAAAAAAAGAATTTATATTTAATTGTTTATCATTTTTAAGTTTATTACATACAACATCCTATATTTTTATGGTTTAAAGAAAGTGTTAATTTGAATTTAAACGTATTAATGTAAATTAAATATAAAAGGTTAATTTAAAGTTAAAAAGGGTTCATTTGAGTTAATGATCTGTTGTGAAGCAACGCTTTCCGATGTAGATCCGTTTCGTCTCGCTCCTTTTTCATGAGATTAGTTTTCGATTTTGCACGTTTAATCTCATGGTATCACGCACAAAAGTAGGTTCATTTAGTTTAAACTAGTTTTGATTTCCAAAAAAAGAAGGAACAAGCCACATAAAATTGACCAAATATACCTTAGTTGAAAACTTTATAAGGAGTTAGTTGTGTTAGTAGCAGCATAGTTTTGTATTTTTACTGCTAAATGTTAAAAACCTGTGAGTATAAATCTCTGTGTCTATTAGGATAAAGTGGTCCGTTCATGGAGCACAGTTTTGTCGTTTGTTCTTTATGAGTGTGTATGAGACCTTGCAAGATTAAGAAATAATTTATGGATTTTGATCTGATATTACAAGCACATTATAATAGTTATGCTATCAATATTATTTCCTTTAATGGGATGTTTGTTTTCCAGATCCTTTGTTTATTGTTAATATTTGTCATTTTTGTGTTTAATTTGGTGTTTTGAATACTATTCTCGAAGAGGTGAAAGGTCTTTTATGAAATGCGTGTTTAAAAAACAGATTAACCCTTGATATCAAACAGATTAACGAACACAAGGGATTGAATTTCACGGGTCGCATTTTTGAAAAGAAAATCGTACAGTCATTCAAAAGGGCACAAAAGAGGAGCGGATATGTTGAAATGGATATAAGAAGTCCATATATCCGTCACTCCAGCGGGGGAAGTAAATTAGGTGGCCTGTCGTTTTGGCTTCGTGACAAAACATTAAATTGATGAGGCCGCTCTCTTCGATTGTAAGAATAACTTCAACTTCATGAATAAAGAAACTCCCGGACCGGTCCGGTTAATTTTAGTGGGCCTTTTTTACCAAGGTATATTTAAAATACAGGCGCGAAAGTTATAGAATCACCATTTCGGTAACTTAAGGCATGTTCTCGGCTTTCCGACGAACTTTTAAAGTTCCATCATTCGCTTCTATCCTAATTGTTTTCAGTTCTGACCCTTTAAACTTGACACTCAATGGTAATGACCATGAAAAGGCTCCAAAATTGGTAAAACTGGGTGCCATGAAGAAAAATAGTACTTAGAATATTTTCTTCTTTATAAGAATAGTCCTGAGACGATGATTAATGATGGCTCTTCGTCAGATGTTTTGGCTTTGTGTCATAACATCCCTTAAAACAATATGAGTCAAGGTTTATTTTGGAAAGTTAGCCCGAAAGTAGACTTATTTTCCAGTATTTGTACATAAAGAAGAAATATGAATAGAAACATTTTTTTTTATAAAACAGCTCGCACGTACGGACCCAACTATCATCTATGTTGTATTGATTTCACGTACTTTCAACTTACATGTTTATTTAAAAACATTTCATATAGAAGTTATCATTTTACGTCAGTATCGCCCTATTTGAGAAACCTCATGGTCCGCATAGTCTCGCTATTTTGATATGTATTTTATGATTTTGGAAGGTTAAACTTTTATCATAACAGATTAAAACTTGATGATCCATATGTTTTAAGTTAAAATGGAAAAGTTTAACTGAAACGAGTTTAAATAAGTAGAAACGTCAGTATCAGAGGGAATAATTATTTTGTTATTGTTGAATAATTTTTTCTAGATTTTCAAGCAATAAATCCCCATCATGGCAGTTCCTGCTATATTCCTATATTTGCTATACTCCTACGCTAATAAAAAATTGGTTTAATTAAGGACAAAATGGTCTGTTCGTGGAGTAGCGCTTTCCAATTCCGCTTGGTCTCGCTTGTTCTTTAGAGGATTGAATTTTGATTTTACAACCTTCAACTCATAGGGTCATTCGTAACAGAATGTACGTTGATATAGTTTACGTTTAGTTGAAACAGAACTTGTTTTAAAGAGGAAATTTAAAAAAATCTTACTTAGGCTACTTCGTTTCAGTAGCAGTATAATTTTCTCTTCAAAATTGGAAATTTTCGTGGAGTGCAATTTTCCACTGTAGGTCCGCTCAGTCTCGCTCGTTCTTTAGGAGGTTTCAGATTTTGGAGGATTACAAACAGATTATAAGTTGATATGGTTTAGGCCAGTATTGGTAAAAGAAAGAATAAGCTACATAAAAGAAACCTTAGTTGAAATTAATACGGGTGAAATAGAAAAAAACTTTCATACTTTTTAAGCAATAATATGGGTTTTATTTTGCAAATTTGAACTCGTTGGGTCATTAATTTTTGATATGGGTTAAATCAGTAAAAAGAAGAGAAAGGCAACATTAAATATAAAATTTACCCTAGTTGAATCAGAAGAAAATCCTTCTATAGCTTTTTTCCGTCAGATTAACCTTTTTTAATCTTAATTGTTTTAAATTTCTAAATTACCTTTTTTAACTTCATATTAACCATTTTTATATCAAATTAACCATTTTATTCAAATTAACGATTTCTTTAATGAATTTTAATGCGTGCAATGAAATAAAATTAAAAATTATATACAATTAAATACAAGAATAAAAGGATTCTTCTTTTAACATGAGAAGTTTTGTAAACATAAATTATTTTATAGGCCAATTATTTTATATTTTAAATTATTTTCGAATTAATAGAAGAATCATTTATTTGTTTTTATATTCAGTCTTATATAAATTTTAATTTATTTTAGATATTCCATTTTACGTGTACATATATTTATAAATTTTTTAAATTCACAAAATAGAGAAGATATTTTATTCTTATATTTCATAATCATTTTTAATTTTAATTTTATTAGATTTTGTACGTGGTATTTGAGATAAGAACACATTTTATTTATTTCTTCTCAAATCAAAAAAAGAATCCTTTATTTTGAATTGTATTAAATTTTATGTGGATTTTTGATAAGAACGCATTTCATACTTCCAATTCTCAAATTTAAATAATCCGTTCTTTTTATATTTGATTTTATTTAATTTTAATTTAAATTGTATTAAATGTTATCTTGTATTTTAGATAAGAACCAATTTCATTTTTTTAAATTCTTTAATTTAAAGAAGAATACTTTATTTTTATACTTAATTTTTAATTTTAATTGTCGTTAATTTTTATATGGTCTTCTAGAAGCCCAATTTAGGAATTATTAATTAAATTATCATTAATTTAGAAATTGTATTTTACATAATTATCTCCTAAGTTTTTTAATGGTCAAAAGGAAGAGTTAATTTAAAATTTAAAAAAGGGTTAATTTAAAGTTAAATGTATCGATTTTAAATAAAATGGTTAATTTATGGCAAAAAGGGTTAATTTTGACATTAAAAATGGTTATTTTGATGTTAAAAAGGATTCATTTGACGGAAAAAACTAAATACATATTCCTCAACCAGTAAGTTGTGTTCTACATTTTGTTAAGCAGTTAGTTGTTTGAAGTAGCACATTTTTTCCTCTATACTGCTGAAAATGGAGTGTTCGTATAAATTTCTGTAATCTTGTTTGGTAAGGGTCGGTCAATATTTGAATACACACCAGGAAGAAAATATTCGTTCGACTAAAGGGCGAAACAAAGAGAAATTGTACTTTTTTGAAATACGGCTTAGTAACAAAAGCTCGCTTCTTGCCAACTGCGGAATCGGAAATTCCTAAGACTGAGATAACAAGAGTTTATAAAGGTGATAAAGTGGCAAACAACGATAAAAGTGCACTTCCTCGGGGGAGGAAATTTTGATTTATGAGCGTCATAAAAACGATAAAGCGATAATTGTACAAAGGGCTTCTTTTATAAACGTTTTGACTTCTCGGGGCAGACGGTTTTTAACTTTAAAGGGTTTATATTAATCGGCAACCCTTTCTCAGTCTAAAAATACCACTCCCTACATATCAATGCTTCTATTAATAGGCAGCTTCTTTTATAGAATCAGCCGAGTTAAGTGCCGAGTCTTCTCCGACCACTGACGAACACTTACGATTTTATTGACTCCGTCTTGCGATTGGATCACGGAAATATGAAGACCGAACGGAGATGAAAACCGATCAAAGGCGTCCGCCGTTACAATGCCGGTTGATCTCAGCTGTGCAGATCTATTACCATGGTTTGAATGGCCACAGGAACACAATAGATAAATAATGGAAGTAAAACAACGGGTTAGCCGTCCATTAAAAGGACAAGTCATTGTGCTTTCGCGATCCGAAACTCGACCTCTCTCTGTCTCTATCTCAAGCCATCCGCGATATGAATCTCGTATCAGCACTAATTAAGACGATTCGACGACGCTCTTCTTTTATTTTCCGACTCCCGGCTTACCGTTACTTTAGCCGAGAGACGTTCTATAATTAAAGCAAATTCTCCCTAGGAAGTGCGAGAGAAAAAAGAAAGAAACCGTCACGTAAAGTTTCCTAAATAGTCTTGTTTCAAAAAAAAGTACCGCAACGAGTTGTACGATTGTTGAACTCGAACCAGTTAGTTCATAAACGGTACAATGTGACCTATCTGATATATGCCAATTTTTTTTACAAGAACACTTGAACTGAAGTCATTGAACGTTTTGAACATCGTCATGGAATGAAGTGTCAAAATAACGCACAGACCCAACTAAGAAGACATCTTTCTGCCTTTTATTTAACTACCTAAGATTTGGTCAAGAAGTCCAATTGGCTAAGAAGGTCCTGGGTCATTAGATTAACTTAACTGGTAATCCAAAATTCCAAATTCCATCGTTTTAACTAAAACTTTTCTTAAATTAGAACTATTTAAAAACCAAATATAGAGGGTTACGCTTGATTTTTGTAAGGCTAAGTTATGTATTTTGTGGGTCTTTATTATTAAACCCCTATTTCTGATTATGAATGTATTTCTAAAATAGTTTTTCTATATGACTTCTATTGTTTCAGCAACGACGCTGTGGCCGCTTGTTGGAGGGGTGTGCCCTATAGAACAGTACTGCCTGAACGGAGGGACGTGTACATTTTACGATACAGTCGGAGAGCTCGTCTGCCAGTAAGTTGAAAAACGCCAAACCACACGGTTTCATCGGGAAAACTTCGGTCGCATAAATCACCTTCGCTCCCTGATACAAAACCCCATGTAGAAGGGCATTTCTTTTACGGTCTGTTTGCTCGGGAAGAGACGGGAAAAAACAAGTCCGCAACTCTGGAGGCCGCGGAAAGCGAGAAAAGCGGCCGTTGACCTCACTAGTTCCATTTAATGTATTTCGTCTGCCTCCTTTTTTCTTCTTTTTACGATAGCATTTTATGTTATTTTCCAACCCCCTTATATTAGTTGCCTTGCCCCTAATTCCGTTCTGGCCCGCCCCGTCTTGGAAAACTTATTCAAGTTTATAAACACGACCCTCGGGAAAGAAGAATCAGCCTTATATATATTTTTTCTTTTGCCTACGCAAAGCAACCAGAAAAATCGTTAATTTTTATGTAGTCGGGTTGGGTCTGCATAATCACTTTTCATTGAATTCAAGAGGGCTTAATTGTATTTATATATCTAGCATATATTTACTATAAAACAAACGATTTATATAATTTTAAATCATATTTGTAAACGTTTTAATTATGAATAACAGTTTCAAAGAAGGAACTGAGTAATTCTTTTATTTCAAATTGGCTTTATCTCTGATTTTTAATATAAAAGTATGATAGGTCCATGTCCAAAGAAGAAAAAAAGTTTTTTTGACCATCTTCCCACTCTACAGCGACATCCATAACCATCTCCACGGAAATGAAATAGAACAAAAATTTTTACCACTTTCTTTCCCTCTTAAAGCCTTTTGGAAATTTTCCTCTATCATTCTTCTCCGTAAACCAACCAAATCTGTCAACCTTCCTTCATCCTACCTCTCTGTCAGTATTTTGTATGGCTGTACCCTATCATTGAAACACAATTAATAATCCTGAGTCACCAGTTTAGATTTAGGACCTTAGATTCGGCAGTCCATCAATGTTCATTTAGTTGTGGACATCATTCCATCCCTTGAACAGAAGAAGTGTTTTCTGAGTGTGCTCTCTGACATTGCTCAAGCCTTCAACAGGGCACCCGGTGTAAGCTAAAGGTCATCATATCCAACACCTTCTACCTAATTGAAAATCATACATGTAACCACTACTTCAAAATTAGTCAACGCTTAGCAATGTTCCCGGTTTTTTCTAAACTGGTATCCCACAAGGGAACATTTTTGAACCTCTCCTTTACACAATATATGAAGTGAGGGGTTTATATTCCCTAAGCACTGCAGCCTTCTCCCTTATTGTATTTTTCCATCAATCCCTTGTTATGTCTTCATTGAGTGGTTACTTCACATTCGAAGAAGATATGAGTAGCTGTTTCTTCCTCCTCACAATATATACTGCTAGCATTTCTCAAGCCTTCAACAAGGCACCCTGGCTTCCTGTGGAAGTTGAATGGCATAAAATTATCCTAAAATCATTCCTTTCCGATTGTTACTTCAGAGTTAGACATAGCGATATCCACTATGCTGGTGCCTCCAATGGAGCATCCTTGAGCCTCTCCTTAACATGATATATACTGTTGACATTCCTCAATGCCTTCAACAGGGCATCCGAGCCTTCTGTGTAAGCTAAAGGTCATCATACCCACACTTAATTCTTAATTCTATAATTGTACCTGCCTCATCGTTACTTCTGAGGTAGAAATCAGAAATCAAAATAGAAAATAGAGAGCATTGTTGGACTAATCCTTTACATGATATGTACAACTGACATTCCTCAAGTCTTCTATAGAGCACCTAGGCCTTCTCTGGAATTAGAAAGCCATCCCACAAGAGAGCATTCTTGGACCTCTCTTTTGCACAATATATACTACTAATATTTCTCAATGCTTTGACAAGGCACTGAACCTCCATGGAAGCTGAAGGGCATCCACCCAACTACCTATCCTAAAATCAAACCTGCTTGACCGTTATTTCAGAGTTAGACAGGGCATAGTGTTACCCATATTTTTCATAAATTGGAGACCCACAAGGAAGCATTCTTGAGCCTATCCTTTACAAGTACATACTGCTGACATTCATATCCTCCTAGAGCATTCCACTAATTTCCAGCAATCCTTTCTTTGCATAATGGTCCCTTCACCATATTCAGAAACCATCTAAACCATTTGCATTGCCTCAACATGTTTTGCAAAAAGTGGAAAATTAAAAATGGAACAAAGTGGCAATACATTAACTCCTCATACCACCTATTCACTTTAACAGAATTTCACAACATACTTCACCAAAACTTAAGTGTAACAAGCTAAACAAACTTCCACTAAACTATAAATGATTGATAAACATGGCTCTCAAACTTATGTGGACTCGTGAACTTGGGGGTCAACGAAGCATCCAAACTTTCTTTCAAAAATTCCAATTAAATGTCCTAAGAAAAATTGTTGCTCCTTTTTTTATATACCTAGGTCCACTACGTTTCAATCCTCTCTACAAACCTTGTTTCTTTCCTAGCAGTCTGATCCCTCCAGGACCCCCTTCCTTAGAACCTGACACCAATATTTGTCCTTTACCCTTAAACGTAAAATACTCCTTGCCTGATTATCTAAATCAATTCATTTCCTGTGGCAGATCTTGTCAAATAATTGAGACCTTATATAGAAGAAAAGGTTGGCATGGATATATGCAACTTAAACTGACATAAGTGAACTACAGGTACAAGACTTACTATTCACAACAACAAAATACTTCCCACTATATAGCAATATATTTCAAATTATACTTCAATATACTTCACAGAGTTCTTCAAGCTCTTATGTGGACATAAAAACTGGGCTAAAAAATCTAATGTTACCTCATAGTGATATTCCCTATCTATCCCAAGCTATTGTCCCACAAGGGAGCATTGTTGGACCTCTCATGTAAATGTAACTGTACTACTGGCATTCCTCAGATAAAGACTTATCATTCACATTTAAACAAATACTTCATGCATCTCTTCCAGCTTCTATATAGATTTTATATTCCCCTGTACAAGAGGGATAAAAATAATATGTTCATACTTAGCACGCTTTATCTTTCTTCACTTAAACAATCACCTTATAGCTTAAATAAAAATTTCTTACTTTTTATCTTGATGCAATTTCTCTATGTTGGGGGGGGGATGACCCTTTAATTAAATTTTTCGATTTTCGGTCCTCACCGATCATTCTAGAGGATAATCAGACCAGGATGTTCAGTAACAATCAAATTACTATTTATTAGTAGTAAATAGTTTTTCATTGAATCATTTAACTTAAATAAATTTATGATTTTTTTATGGAACTCTAGCACAGATTTTTTTTTCAGGTGCGCTGAAGGATTCAAGGGGCAGAGGTGCGAGAGCAAAGATGTCTACAATCGCAGTAGTATGTATAGGCCTATGACCTACTTCTGCAAACTGGGCATTTCCTCCTCCTATTATTGCTAAGTAAAAACAAATAGATTGTGTAATTGAAAAATTGGACAAGGATTCCGCACACAAAAATAATAAATTTGCAATTGAAAATTCATGTCAAAACTGCCTTTTTACTTTTTTTTATGATAGAAGGAGGAGACGTGGTGTAAATTAAAACAAATGTTTTTATTCTCAGCCAAAGATAAGACAGTCTTAATTTATGTAGCAATAATCTTTTCTTGCTTCGTTTGCATATAAGAAAAGTTTTTCAATTAAATATAACATATATTTATATATTTACCACATTATAATGGTATTTATTTCAACTTGTAGGTTTTTCTAGACTTTTTTTGCTCTCCATTTTTACTTGACTTAAGAGTATAATCGAAGTGACATTCTGTATACTCGTATTATCTTCAGACTGAAGTGCAATATGTGTATAGTTTACAACAAGGAGAAATGATTTGTTTCAGTGTAAATAAGCCAAAGGCATTTCTCATTTAGGGTTCGCCAATTGATAATAATAAAGAAAAATAAATCTTGTTAATACGTTAGTAGTCATGTGTACAGTGTTTAATTTATTAATTTGAATATGTAATTAAAGTTTCATATAATTGTAAATTATTTAGTATTAATGTATTTTCCGTAACATAGTTCCTAATACTGATTATCTTGTATTTGTAATTAAATTCATATATGAAGAGAAAGCGTCTCGATTAACTTTCAGGGTCTAAATTAACTTTCAGTATAACAATGAATTGTGACTATTTTTATTTGGATCAACTGAAACGTACCTCGGAATTGTCAAAATTTTAATTATTTATGCATATAAATTTATAATCGTTCACTATCGAGTTGTTGTAATGAATATTGTAAATCGTCTTGGAAATAAAATGGAACAGGGAGATGCCCAAGTATTAATTTGCATGTTAAATAGGATTATGTCTTTTTTATTTATTTATTTTGGTTTTTATCATTATAAACCGCTTTTTATTAATTGGTGAAGGCCTGACAGAAGGAGGAGAAATTAACAGAAAATAAATCTTAAATTTTTTGTAGATAGTGAACGATTATTTATTTGGCTTCTTTTATTTATTTATTTTTTTATTTTTATTTTGTACATCAATTCTTTTTTTTCCAATATAAAATTGTATTTAAAAAAATCCATTTTATTTTTTAAAAGAAACAAAAATAAATCCAACTCACAACAATTAATCTTGTCTATTATTAAATGAAATTTTCCATTCCAAATTGACTAATATACGTTAACAAAAATGGCAGTAATAAAGAGTAAATGCCAATTCAGGGCAAAAGGTCCCACATTTTTATTTACCTACATCAATAAACAAATTTAAAAGCACACAAAAAAAGTAGTTAAAAAAACTTCACACAATAACAGTAAAAGCCTTTGGCGCATTCCAAGTTTGGCAGATTCACTGGCGTTTAGATCTGACAAGGAACTGAAATTAATCGCTAAGGATGATGGCAAAGCTGGAGATTCAGGATGGAATGGAAGGATGAGGGAAGAAGCTTAACAATGTATGTTTGTCACTATTCCTCCTACCCTTCAGACTTAACCCCTTTTTTATTTTTTTTAATACCTTTTTTTAACTGTAGGATAATATAGATTTTTGTAGTGTGTAAATAGAGTAACTGTGTGGGATTAGGCTTGGAATATCTTTCGTTCTTCAATTTTCTCTCAAATATAAGTTCATACTTGGTTGTACCACTAACCACCCAACAAATTAGGCCCTACCAACTCATTTTCAAAGCATTATGTTACTATTTAATTTTAAAAAATGATATGTTGTGAGATGGATTTATGTAACATTTTTTATTAACAATATTATTGTTTTTAATTTTCTGATGATTTCTTTTCCTTCTCTAAAGTTTGTCTATTTTTTATTTTATTTTATTTTTTGTTAAGCAGTTTTTTTTATTTATTAAAAATATAATAATTCCAAGTAAAACGGTTTGGGCCTTTTTTGTTTATAATTTTGTTTTATTCAACTAACATTGGCTAACCTTGCTAAAGCTTTGTACATTTTATTATTATAAATATAAAGGAAAAAGTTCATTTCTAACACACAAAAACCTAACACGACTGTAACGAAAACCACTTAAGTTCTAAATCAAAGGCCGATTTGTACAAAAAAAAAAAAAAAAATCAAGACCACAGTTTTTGGATTTGTACAATCATTGTTTTTTTGTAAATAACAGGCTTTTGGTTAATAACAATTTAGAAATAATTGCTAACTTGTCTGGACTTGCAGAGAAAAGTTGGGTTTTTTTTTTTTTTGTGCAGATTCCAGCCCGGAGTCGTGGGAGAGGGGGCCCCCAACTCGAATCATGACTTTCAACTAAAAATTATCAAACAAAGATAGACATGTTAGGACTATGAGTATAAACTAAAAAGGTACATACTTTTTAAAGTAAAATTTTTTTAACGATTGATTTTTTTTAGTTTAAAAAAAAAAGTGGAGACCCCCTTGCATGTGTATATTTTAAAAGAATAGGGAAATCAAGGCCCGATACTGTTTTTCATTGTTGAATTTCTTTAATTGTTTATTAATAAGCAAGGGAAAAACAAAACTGATCACTTGTTTTTTTCCAGATATTTCGGTGATATTTTAAATGGCTCTGCTGAATTGTATGCGGAGACTGTATTGCAGCGGAATTGAAAATCTACACTGTACCACTGCTTCGACTTTTTCTGTCTGTGTTGCGCTTATAAAATTCAGGTTCTTGTCGTTGCTTCAGTCTTTCCCTCCCTTTGCATATTTTCAGTGTTTTTCACCATTTAGAGAACAAATCCCTGTTTCTTATTTTTTTAAATTATTATCATGAAAACAAAACTGGTTGTATTAATGTTGAGGCTATAATTGTATTTTTTATAAGTATATTTATGATTTTGTTAAGACTGGATGAGTATTTTAGTTATTTTCAATTTTAACATGCCACCCTTTTCCCCTTCTTTTTGTGTAAGTAGTGTTGTTAAATATTTAACATTGTGGAATTTACAAAATTAAAGTTCATGATGTAATTTATTTTTAATAGATTTTTAGAACTAAATTCCTTAGAGATTTGAAAAAAAAAGATAATATAATAAATTTAAAATAGTTGTTTACTAATTTAGTAAAAATTAACCAGTGCTTATAAGGAAAGAATGCTCTCTTTAAAAAACATTAATTAATTAATTAAATTAGTATACACTAACTGGTGCTTTGTTTAAAGAGAAATATAAATGTAAAATCATTGGTGCTATTTGTATTTTTTTTTATGTTTATAGATGTTAATTGTTGATGTAATATTGCAAAGGCTGAAATAGACGATAATGGACAAATTGATAGGACTTATAATTATGTCTGTATTGATATATATATTTTTTAAATTGTTCTAACTATTTGAATCACTGTTTTATAAACAACAACAAACTGTTGAAATCATTCTCTTGAAAATAAATCAATTATTAAAAAGAAAAAATCTGCCTTTTTGTCAGGCAAGATGTTAGGTTTAGTTTATAGACCAGTGTTTTCTTAAAATGATTTTAAAATAGCATAGGAAATTGAAAATTGTGGAGCGCTCATTTCTCAAGTATATGACTTTTTTAAAACAAAAAATTTATTTACAATAATGATAGGATATGGAAAAATTTACATACTTATCCTGTTATAAGTGTTACTTTATGTTCCTACGTATGGCGAAAGAGAGGAAAAACATTTGTAGATATATAGATATATTAAATATTTGTATATTTTAGTGTATATTATTTCACTCATTTTAAGCAATTGTGTAAATTATTATATTTATATTGTAATCGCTTAAAATGAAGTGTATTCATTAAGTCATTGCTTCTAGCAATATCTAGTCCAAAAACAGTTAGAATTGTTGTAGAAATAGTGAATTTACAAATTTAAATACAAGTAATACAGAAAAATATAATAGTCATTAATAAAACAAATAATATTTGATTAATTATAGTTTGGAAATGTGGATAGGCACGACTTATTGCAATAACAATATTATATGACAAACAACACATTAATACAAAATCTAGGAAAACGATTCAATGAAAATTGTCAATGTAGTAAATAAGAATTCTATACTTTGTAATATATGTATCCCATGTATATTTATTATTTCTTTTATATTTCTCGTTTATTGAAATAAACGACATAATTGTCTTGAAAACATATCTCCTCTTTGATTACCTCTTGTTCCTACATCTTGGCACCAAAAAAAAAAATATATATATATATAATATAATATATATATAATATTATATATATATATATATATATATATTTATTTATTTATTTATATTTAGTATGGGCATTTCAACTATGATGTTATATGAACCCTCAGGGTGCCGGTGTTTTGGTGAAAAAGCCCATTTATAAGTGTGTTGAACCAGCACATGGGCACTACTGGGTCTGTCTTCACTCGCTCGGTTGTTTTGTTTGAGTTATTCAAACGTGTTTCGGCATTATGCCATCTTCAGTGAAGAACTGTCTGTCATTTAGTCTGAGCAGGGTTTATATAGTATTGCATCCGTCGCTTGTCGCTGGGGGCATGGTCTTCATGCTTGTTGGCCAGTCCGACTTTGAGACTGGTTCCATAATGAAGTTTATAAAGTTAATAATGAAACACCGGTCAGAAAGCCATGTATGTCATATTATTGTTGTTTTGTCATCATGTAATGATTTTATCCCCTTTTTTCCTCAAATAACTAGATAATACTGCAATATTAAGCGAAGTAAGTTTAGGTAGAAATGACAGAAATTGTTATGAAATTGTAAATAAATAATTCCTATAAAAGAAGCCTACCAGTCCAACTACCCATTGTATGTCGCAAATCAGAGGTCCAAATTAAAAATTAACGGATTTAAACCCAATACAGCTAGGCAAATAAGAGTCTGACCTCACCACTCAACCACTGCGATGTGGAAAAGTCACATATGGAAAGCGAGAAGGAGATAAAGAGATAGAGAGAAGTATATTGAAAAATCCATAATAAAATTTATAAGCTTGTACATCAATAATCAAGCTTATGTGCATAACCATTCATTTTGTCATATCTTACATCATTTAAATGAATTTGAAATGTTTAAAATGGATAAGATTCATTAACCTTTGTTATTGCTTGAGTGTACTGATAAAAGCACAAGAAACAGAACATTTTGATAACCATTAAAAAAATGGTTAAGTTTATATAAGTATCAAACTAAGTTTGAGGTTAATAAGGTGGATGCAGATAAGTGAAGAATAATCAGCAATGTTCAACTGTAAAAAAATTGTACATTACAAAATTAGACCTTAAGGTTCCTTTGCCTTTTGCTTTCCTTAGACATTCAAATAAATAAGAAAATTAGGAGGGTTTTAATTAAACCTTCCAAATCACCTTGGCTATGCTCCATACCCAGCGCAACTGCCAAATCAGTAATTGGCATCGTTACTTTGATATCTTAATTTTGTTGCAAGTACAAAAATTGACCATATGTACCAAACAGATTAAAATGCTGAATCAGCAAAACGATTATTTAAATGTATAATCTTGTTACACTTTTACTACTTCATTGGAACATGCAATAGAAATATGCAGTGAAAGTATTGGCATTTTTTACAAAATGACCAGGGAAAAAGAATTGCAGCAATGACCTACTACTTCATAAAAGAAGAATCGAGTAAATTAAACTGAACTAAGGAATTACGAAATGTACAATAAGCCAAAAGTGTGCAATGCTTGGGAATACCAAACCCCTTGCTTTCTAGTATCCTTCTCATCATTATTAGTAGTGCTAGCATTAATTTTTTTATACAAAATTTCAATTAATAATTACTAAGATATAGAACTGGAACTATTTAATTTTCTGTCAAGCAGAAACACACTTGTATGTTTTAAGCAAGTTATATGTACGTTGATTTGTTTCTTATTCTCTCTGTGATAAAAACCTTGTTTTTCTCAGTTATTTTTACTATTCAAACTTTCAACTGGGCTTGCTAATAAAAATAAACTGACTCTAAAGGCTAAAAAATGGATAACAACAAAACCTCATGATTCAAAATTTGAAATCATTTTGATTTAGCCTTCTA